TGGCAGGCTAAAACCCATGGCGGCTCGGGGGGGTGGTCCAGGGTGGGTCACCACCATCCCCATCGGTCATTTTTAAGCAAACGACGTTAAAACGAACGATTTCATGGTCTTAGGGCGGGTCAGTGGTCCAGGGTGGGTCACCACGGGTGGTGGGCCATTTACACGATTTCAATCGGTGGCAGCGAATTGATACTCCCAACCACGAGGTGAAATATTGGAATTCATATCCAAGGGGCGTGGATTCCCTAGGCCTGCACCGCACACCGTTTGCTGCACCCAGGGAGGGGCTCGAGGGGGGCCTCGGGGCAGGAAGGGGGGGCTGCCTTGGTCAGGGGGTGGGGAGCCCGCTCAGGTGTTACAGTCACCCCGCTATGATAGGCCGCGTGAGCAGACCTTGGGCAGGGGGCACACGTGATCAAGGGGCATCAAGAGAGGGGGTGGACCATGGAGCACCCTCTCCATGGCTCCGACCACCCTCCCCCCAGCTGAGCGTCCCAGGGTCACCCCACCCTGGCCCCGCTCCCCGTCCTGCCGGACACGCAACCCCCACAACGTGGTGGGGGGCGTGGGGATCCTTAACAGGGCCTGCCAGGCCGACGGGTGCCGATGCTGGTGCGGGCTCCCGGCGGCAGGCAGCGCCGCCACCGGGCGCTCAGATGGCGTGTGTAGCAGGACTAGCCTCCGCTATCCCGCTGATCGCTCTATCTGACTATGGCTCTCTCTGCTAAGGTATAAGCGTGCTTACAACGGCGCCTGCACCCCAGCAGAAAGGCCCAGGGGCAGGCGGAAACACCAGCAAAAGGGGCTAAACAGCATAGCATGCACGCCGCGCCGTCGGCGCCGTCGCCAGCGCCGGCGCTGCAGCGCTGCTCCTACTACACTGCCCCCCTCCAGGAATAGGCATCGTCCTCGAGCCGTAACCGCGTAAGCTGCCGAGCAGAAACAATGCGGTCAAAGCAGTGTAGAGAGAGAGTAGGCGCAAGGAACAGAAGTAGAAGTACATCGAGGGACATACGAAGCAGGGGAATCAAGCAGATACAAGTCGGGGGGAGCGCCGCGCAGGGGCAGACGCCGAGGGGGCGCTGCCAGCAGCAACCTTGCGGCCAGGCAAACTCCACCATGGGCAGCAGCTCATCCCAGTCCGTCTGGTCCGCACACACGAAATGGCGCAGCACCTCCCCAACCAGCCGATTCATCCGCTCAGCCTGGCCGTCGGTCTGGGGATGGTAAGCCGTCGATGTGTTCAGGCGCGTCCGCATCAGCTGCATAAGCCGCTGCCAGAATGCGCTCATGAACTTGGGGTCGCGATCACTCACAACCACCCGTGGCCACCCCATCTGCGACAGCACCCGCTCATTGAAAGCGCGAGCTGTCCCCTCAGCATCGGGACGCCGCATCGGAACCAGCTTCACCATCTTGGTGAGCAGGCAGACGCAAGTCAGGATGAATCCTTTCCATCCGGCGTCTCCGGCAAAGGCCCAATGAATCCATGCCCACCACCTCCCAGGGACACCAGGGATGGGAAGTGGCTGCAGCAAGCCAGGTGCCGCTCCACGGC